CGAATTTTTGAGTTTCGATATCTCAGCTCTGGAAGGGGCTAGAGCCTCCATTTTTGCACTCAGGTCTAAGTCTCATGGCCCTCTATCAGAATCCAGAGTTTTGGGAAGATTGGAGAAACTTAATTTTTCGCCCAAAAAAAAAAAACGTAAGGGGTACCACTGTCGTTTTTTTTTCGGGCCGAATTTTTGAGTTTCGATATCTCAGCTCTGGAAGGGGCTAGAGCCTCCATTTTTGCACTCAGGTCTAAGTCTCATGGCCCTCTATCAGAATCCAGAGTTTTGGGAAGATTGGAGAAACTTAATTTTTCGCCCAAAAAAAAAACGTAAGGGGTACCACTGTCGTTTTTTTTTCGGGCCGAATTTTTGAGTTTCGATATCTCAGCTCTGGAAGGGGCTAGAGCCTCCATTTTTGCACTCAGGTCTAAGTCTCATGGCCCTCTATCAGAATCCAGAGTTTTGGGAAGATTGGAGAAACTTAATTTTTCGCCCAAAAAAAAAAAACGTAAGGGGTACCACTGTCGTTTTTTTTTCGGGCCGAATTTTTGAGTTTCGATATCTCAGCTCTGGAAGGGGCTAGAGCCTCCATTTTTGCACTCAGGTCTAAGTCTCATGGCCCTCTATCAGAATCCAGAGTTTTGGGAAGATTGGAGAAACTTAATTTTTCGCCCAAAAAAAAAAACGTAAGGGGTACCACTGTCGTTTTTTTTTCGGGCCGAATTTTTGAGTTTCGATATCTCAGCTCTGGAAGGGGCTAGAGCCTCCATTTTTGCACTCAGGTCTAAGTCTCATGGCCCTCTATCAGAATCCAGAGTTTTGGGAAGATTGGAGAAACTTAATTTTTCGCCCAAAAAAAAAACGTAAGGGGTACCACTGTCGTTTTTTTTTCGGGCCGAATTTTTGAGTTTCGATATCTCAGCTCTGGAAGGGGCTAGAGCCTCCATTTTTGCACTCAGGTCTAAGTCTCATGGCCCTCTATCAGAATCCAGAGTTTTGGGAAGATTGGAGAAACTTAATTTTTCGCCCAAAAAAAAAAAACGTAAGGGGTACCACTGTCGTTTTTTTTTCGGGCCGAATTTTTGAGTTTCGATATCTCAGCTCTGGAAGGGGCTAGAGCCTCCATTTTTGCACTCAGGTCTAAGTCTCATGGCCCTCTATCAGAATCCAGAGTTTGGGAAGATTGGAGAAACTTAATTTTTCGCCCAAAAAAAAAAACGTAAGGGGTACCACTGTCGTTTTTTTTTCGGGCCGAATTTTTGAGTTTCGATATCTCAGCTCTGGAAGGGGCTAGAGCCTCCATTTTTGCACTCAGGTCTAAGTCTCATGGCCCTCTATCAGAATCCAGAGTTTTGGGAAGATTGGAGAAACTTAATTTTTCGCCCAAAAAAAAAAACGTAAGGGGTACCACTGTCGTTTTTTTTTCGGGCCGAATTTTTGAGTTTCGATATCTCAGCTCTGGAAGGGGCTAGAGCCTCCATTTTTGCACTCAGGTCTAAGTCTCATGGCCCTCTATCAGAATCCAGAGTTTTGGGAAGATTGGAGAAACTTAATTTTTCGCCCAAAAAAAAAAACGTAAGGGGTACCACTGTCGTTTTTTTTTTCGGGCCGAATTTTTGAGTTTCGATATCTCAGCTCTGGAAGGGGCTAGAGCCTCCATTTTTGCACTCAGGTCTAAGTCTCATGGCCCTCTATCAGAATCCAGAGTTTTGGGAAGATTGGAGAAACTTAATTTTTCGCCCAAAAAAAAAAACGTAAGGGGTACCACTGTCGTTTTTTTTTCGGGCCGAATTTTTGAGTTTCGATATCTCAGCTCTGGAAGGGGCTAGAGCCTCCATTTTTGCACTCAGGTCTAAGTCTCATGGCCCTCTATCAGAATCCAGAGTTTTGGGAAGATTGGAGAAACTTAATTTTTCGCCCAAAAAAAAAAAACGTAAGGGGTACCACTGTCGTTTTTTTTTCGGGCCGAATTTTTGAGTTTCGATATCTCAGCTCTGGAAGGGGCTAGAGCCTCCATTTTTGCACTCAGGTCTAAGTCTCATGGCCCTCTATCAGAATCCAGAGTTTTGGGAAGATTGGAGAAACTTAATTTTTCGCCCAAAAAAAAAAACGTAAGGGGTACCACTGTCGTTTTTTTTTCGGGCCGAATTTTTGAGTTTCGATATCTCAGCTCTGGAAGGGGCTAGAGCCTCCATTTTTGCACTCAGGTCTAAGTCTCATGGCCCTCTATCAGAATCCAGAGTTTTGGGAAGATTGGAGAAACTTAATTTTTCGCCCAAAAAAAAAAAACGTAAGGGGTACCACTGTCGTTTTTTTTTCGGGCCGAATTTTTGAGTTTCGATATCTCAGCTCTGGAAGGGGCTAGAGCCTCCATTTTTGCACTCAGGTCTAAGTCTCATGGCCCTCTATCAGAATCCAGAGTTTTGGGAAGATTGGAGAAACTTAATTTTTCGCCCAAAAAAAAAAAACGTAAGGGGTACCACTGTCGTTTTTTTTTTCGGGCCGAATTTTTGAGTTTCGATATCTCAGCTCTGGAAGGGGCTAGAGCCTCCATTTTTGCACTCAGGTCTAAGTCTCATGGCCCTCTATCAGAATCCAGAGTTTTGGGAAGATTGGAGAAACTTAATTTTTCGCCCAAAAAAAAAAAACGTAAGGGGTACCACTGTCGTTTTTTTTTCGGGCCGAATTTTTGAGTTTCGATATCTCAGCTCTGGAAGGGGCTAGAGCCTCCATTTTTGCACTCAGGTCTAAGTCTCATGGCCCTCTATCAGAATCCAGAGTTTTGGGAAGATTGGAGAAACTTAATTTTTCGCCCAAAAAAAAAAACGTAAGGGGTACCACTGTCGTTTTTTTTTTCGGGCCGAATTTTTGAGTTTCGATATCTCAGCTCTGGAAGGGGCTAGAGCCTCCATTTTTGCACTCAGGTCTAAGTCTCATGGCCCTCTATCAGAATCCAGAGTTTTGGGAAGATTGGAGAAACTTAATTTTTCGCCCAAAAAAAAAAAACGTAAGGGGTACCACTGTTTTTTTTTTCGGGCCGAATTTTTGAGTTTCGATATCTCAGCTCTGGAAGGGGCTAGAGCCTCCATTTTTGCACTCAGGTCTAAGTCTCATGGCCCTCTATCAGAATCCAGAGTTTTGGGAAGATTGGAGAAACTTAATTTTTCGCCCCAAAAAAAAAAACGTAAGGGGTACCACTGTCGTTTTTTTTTTCGGGCCGAATTTTTGAGTTTCGATATCTCAGCTCTGGAAGGGGCTAGAGCCTCCATTTTTGCACTCAGGTCTAAGTCTCATGGCCCTCTATCAGAATCCAGAGTTTTGGGAAGATTGGAGAAACTTAATTTTTCGCCCAAAAAAAAAAACGTAAGGGGTACCACTGTCGTTTTTTTTTTCGGGCCGAATTTTTGAGTTTCGATATCTCAGCTCTGGAAGGGGCTAGAGCCTCCATTTTTGCACTCAGGTCTAAGTCTCATGGCCCTCTATCAGAATCCAGAGTTTTGGGAAGATTGGAGAAACTTAATTTTTCGCCCAAAAAAAAAAACGTAAGGGGTACCACTGTCGTTTTTTTTTCGGGCCGAATTTTTGAGTTTCGATATCTCAGCTCTGGAAGGGGCTAGAGCCTCCATTTTTGCACTCAGGTCTAAGTCTCATGGCCCTCTATCAGAATCCAGAGTTTTGGGAAGATTGGAGAAACTTAATTTTTCGCCCAAAAAAAAAAACGTAAGGGGTACCACTGTCGTTTTTTTTTCGGGCCGAATTTTTGAGTTTCGATATCTCAGCTCTGGAAGGGGCTAGAGCCTCCATTTTTGCACTCAGGTCTAAGTCTCATGGCCCTCTATCAGAATCCAGAGTTTTGGGAAGATTGGAGAAACTTAATTTTTCGCCCAAAAAAAAAAAAACGTAAGGGGTACCACTGTCGTTTTTTTTTCGGGCCGAATTTTTGAGTTTCGATATCTCAGCTCTGGAAGGGGCTAGAGCCTCCATTTTTGCACTCAGGTCTAAGTCTCATGGCCCTCTATCAGAATCCAGAGTTTTGGGAAGATTGGAGAAACTTAATTTTTCGCCCCCAAAAAAAAAACGTAAGGGGTACCACTGTCGTTTTTTTTTCGGGCCGAATTTTTGAGTTTCGATATCTCAGCTCTGGAAGGGGCTAGAGCCTCCATTTTTGCACTCAGGTCTAAGTCTCATGGCCCTCTATCAGAATCCAGAGTTTTGGGAAGATTGGAGAAACTTAATTTTTCGCCCAAAAAAAAAAACGTAAGGGGTACCACTGTCGTTTTTTTTTTTCGGGCCGAATTTTTGAGTTTCGATATCTCAGCTCTGGAAGGGGCTAGAGCCTCCATTTTTGCACTCAGGTCTAAGTCTCATGGCCCTCTATCAGAATCCAGAGTTTTGGGAAGATTGGAGAAACTTAATTTTTCGCCCAAAAAAAAAAACGTAAGGGGTACCACTGTCGTTTTTTTTTCGGGCCGAATTTTTGAGTTTCGATATCTCAGCTCTGGAAGGGGCTAGAGCCTCCATTTTTGCACTCAGGTCTAAGTCTCATGGCCCTCTATCAGAATCCAGAGTTTTGGGAAGATTGGAGAAACTTAATTTTTCGCCCAAAAAAAAAAAACGTAAGGGGTACCACTGTCGTTTTTTTTTCGGGCCGAATTTTTGAGTTTCGATATCTCAGCTCTGGAAGGGGCTAGAGCCTCCATTTTTGCACTCAGGTCTAAGTCTCATGGCCCTCTATCAGAATCCAGAGTTTTGGGAAGATTGGAGAAACTTAATTTTTCGCCAAAAAAAAAAAACGTAAGGGGTACCACTGTCGTTTTTTTTTTTCAGGCCAAATTTTTGAGTTTCGATATCTCAGCTCTGGAAGGGGCTAGAGCCTCCGTTTTTGCACTCAGGTCTAAGTCTCATGGCCCTCTATCAGAATCCAGAGTTTTGGGAAGATTGGAGAAACTTAATTTTTCGCCCAAAAAAAAAGGTCTAGATATTTAAGCTCAATAAATATTAGATATTTAAGCTCAATGGCATGGACTGAATCAATCAAATATTGTAAAATGACTATATTACCCAACGTGAAAATGTTTGCCTTTTGTTCCTCTCAGGTTCCGATTGTTGTTCCTGCTTTGGTGGTGATTGTGTCCTGTTACCTAGTTCTCGCTCCCATCATAGACAAGCCTGAGTGGGAGTACCTGTACTGCACGGCGTTCATAGTCAGCGGTCTTCTATTATATGTACCCCTTATTTACTACAAATTCAACTGGACTCGCCACATCATGAGTAAGAAGCTGGAAATTAATTGCACATTTGATAACAGTGCACAAAATGTATGCTTGTCTTGACCATGTCTTGAAATTAACAATAATTATGTTTTCTGAATAATATTTCACTTTTAAGGCTGTTTTTAGTGGATGTTCACCAGAAACATTGAAATGCTTATTTCTTAAACTTGACCTGTTGATGCTTACAGGGCCACTCACTATGCACCTCCAGCTGCTACTGCAAGTCGTTCCATCCGAAAAGATTGAGTGAAAGATGTCAAACTTGAGGAAAGACAGACATAACAGCCTGCAATGGACAACAGATTGATCCGTGGAAATGTGGATAAAGGCTCCTTAAAGGGAACACAGCTGTTTTTTTTCCAATATGAGACCAGACCATCTATTGTTTAATGGACTGCAGGCCTTTCCCAGGGCACATGGATTTGTTTTTACTTCAAAGAATAATGTATCTTTTCCATGAATGTCTGTAAATTATGACAACTTCCAGTTTATCTAACTTATTTTATAATTCAAATGCAAGTTTGTTGTACAGGATAACAATGATATTTTCCACCTTTACTGAACTCAAATGTATTAATTGTGTTAATATATTGACTCAGACTCATTTAATCACATTAGAAGAATTGTAGTAATGTAAGTCTTTAAGTAGCCAATATTATAATTGTAGTTACTAGGAAAAAAAATGCAACAATGGGATTCTAGTAAAAATCGCATTCGTTTCCTCCACAGGTAAATTGATTTTTAACTATAACTTTTAAAGACAGACCTACTGTAAGCTATGAAGATGTTTGTTTGTTTTGGCCTATTTTAATATGCACATATATTTTAACTGTTCACGGTTTGTTTTCAATTCAGTGTCTATTAAAGTTTTACATTACTCTGCAATCATTTTTACCTGCCAGACATGTTAATTGGTATACTGGTAGTCTGGTAACTAATGCTGTGCAACCCAAATTTGGTCAAATATGGACAAACCCCAATGTTGGGTTAAAAATGTATTAATTTATGTATGAATTTTAATTACATTTGGGCTTGTCCATATTTGACCCAAATTGGGTTTAAAACAACCCAGAGTGTTATTTTTTTCAGCGCTTATCAGGATTGGCCTAGCCCTAGGCTATTACACAGTTGTTTGTGGCCATTACACATGGATTTTATAGGTATTGTTGGACTTGGTAGCAATCATAAATCGATTATACCTGTGCCTGAAGTATAATAGAAATGTCCTGATTTGAATGTGGCAAGGAAAAGCAATATTTCTTCCCTTGCTGTAGATGGCGCTCAATCACAGATTAAATAGATTATTATTTTCTCTGCGCTGTCCTGTCCTGTACGCCATTGTTGACCGATGTCGAAAGTTTCCGGATAGGTATAGCTGTGATCATGTAAGCAGTGAGCAAGATGAACACGGCGCTGAAACACTGGAGAGAGGCGGCGACGGTGATCCTGGCGGCCGGGCTGAGACGCACTCCGACTGCGGACTCTCTTAAAGCAGGTCTGGGAAAAGTCACTGATATTGCACACAAATCTGCCTTCGACTATCAAGTGCTGCTGCTGAAACGGAGCGGTCGCAGCGGGTATATGCCCAATGCCTACGTGTTTCCCGGGGGGCTGGTGGAATCGTCTGACTTCTCCAGCGAGTGGCAGGAGATCTTTAAAGCCTTTACCGAAGCGCCCAACTACGGCATCGGAGTTGTGAAGCAGCCACCGGCGAGCAGGCCACCCATTTTCGCCACTGACAGATCTCAGCTGGGATCTCCGATACCGGGAGATGTGGCTTTCAGGATCTGTGCGGTGAGAGAGACGTTTGAGGAGTCAGGTGTGCTCCTGGCGGTTCCCAAACACGAGGAAAGCGGGATTCGCGTGCACACGGATGATAACAGTGACAGCCAGCCAACACTGACCAGATTGACCGGACTGTGGAGTAAAGACGTGCTGTCTAAGTGGAGATCTCAGGTTATTGATAACCCGGCGAATTTTATCAAGATGTGTCGGGAGTTGCAGTGTCTGCCCAACATCTGGGCTTTGCATGAATGGGGGAACTGGTTGACACCCTTAGGCAAACAGAGGCGGTACGACACTGCATTTTACATCTGCTGCCTAGACGAGATTCCATACACGCTTCACGACGAGAAGGAAATCGTTCATTTTAAGGTTCGTTTTGAATGGTATAGATACCTTGATACATTTTTAAGTTGTATTTGGCAGACACTCAATGACTGAGCGTGTATTTCATCAGTTCATGTATTCGTGACCAATTAGTTGAAAAGACTTTGCTCGTCAATGTCAATGTATTTTCTGCAACGTCCACCCATGTCCTGATTAATATTAAGTTAAGCGTTCATCGCCAGCAATGCTTCGCCCACTTTACGCCGTTTAGCAAGTGTCCAAACGTCACGGAACATAATTAATATTCATAAACCAGGCCATATAGAGCATCACAGTCCCGCACAGCCCGAGAGAGCGTTGGTGCCGGAAGTTAAAATTTCCCATTCATTTCTCCTATTGACATTTTGTAAAATCCATATCTAAAGAGTATTAGAGCATGGCTGAGGATAACCAGCTACGGCTGAACTCATAAGCATACACCATATCATTTCGAGTGAAATAACGAAAAGTCAAGAGAAAAGTCAAGGGTACAAGCCTGTGCACATATTTTCATTTCCAAGCAAAGGAACTACTCCTCCCATAAGCCAACGCGCCTCAGTAAAGTTGACTGAAGCCACCATAAAAGAGCCTTTTGAATGACTTCCAAATCTGACAACGGCCACGTGAACTTTTTCACGTGATTTTATATAGTCAATGTGCAGGGAAACTGCGGCAACAGCACATCCAATGGTGCGGGGGCGTCTCAGAGGTGAACTTAGGTGAAACAATGAACTTAGCCCTACGTCATTACACGATCTTCAGTCTGTCACATACCTTTGCGGGGTTCAGACACGTGACACGACTTCCACCAATCAGATGCATCACTGTAGGATTGTTCAGGATTGTGGGTAATGAAGTACTTATCCAATACATGGCGAACAAAAGGCATTTATCTTAAAACAAGGTTAGTGCCCCATGAACTTTTGGCATTTATATGAGCACAATCGCTTAATACAGCCATATGGCTTGTATCTCAAATGTCAATGGAGAAATTATATTGAATTTTTACTTCTGGCACCGGCTGTGGGCAAGACTTTGATGCTCTATTAGGTCGTTTGGTCTCACCCTGATGAGAACAACCGATTCTTGTATGTTGGGAAATAACACAACTGCCTTGTCTCACAGTGGGCCACTCCCTCAGAAGTGCTGCACAGCTACAAATCAAAGGAAATCTGGATAGCTCCACCTCAGTACTACGACCTTGGACGAATGTCCCATTTCCCAGCTCTCGGAGATCTCCATCGCTTTGCCTGGCAGAGGTCTTTAGAGGGATGTGAGCAGTGGCTGCCTATTCTCCTGGTGTCACCTGACTGCCATGCAGGTCTTTTACCAGGTAATTGTCACATAATAAATTATTTCAGCTGTCTGCTTAATGTTGCTTCTTGATAAGATAAGAGTGCACAAAACTGACCCCAAAACACCCCCCCACCCCCCCCCCCACCCCCTCTGATACCTAGGGGACGATCTGTACCCAGAGAAAGTGGACACTTCTGGAAAGAGTGGTGTGGTTAAAATTGAAAAAAAGCCTCGGAGAGCTCCAGAGGGACCGTGTAAACATGCACCGCATTGTCAGTCGGGATCCATATTCAAGATCTATCCAGATGAACATCAGGCCCAAGTATAACCACCTCCCTCCTCTCTGTGGTGAAGATGTGGGTGGCGCCTTCAAAAACAGTAAACTCTGACACTTACCTGTCACTACCATAGTGGCAGGAGTGATGGATAAAGCCTAGATAGTTTTTTTAATTAGCCAATTTCTACACACTAATGTGTCCCTTGACCTATGCAATGTAGTTTGATATATGGTCTATTTAACTTAAATCGTAAAGAAAATACACAATCCTCGTTGAGTGACGACTGTTAAAGGGGTCATGAACTGGCTTTTTAAATTTCATTATATTGTTGTCTGAGGACAATTTATGACGTTCGCTTGGTTTTTGCATTCAAAAACATCAAAATGAATAAGTAATAGGCTATTTTGTACCCAAGTTGTGAGCCTTCCTGAAAAACGTTCGATTTTTATGGGCGTGTCGCACTGAAAACTTGGAAATAAATGCCCACTGCTGTGAGTGGATAACAGTTTTGAGTTTTGAGTTTAACTCACCCGGTCGGTGCAAGTGGGGGAAAACGTCCAATGTTGTCAAATGGCAATTCGCCCATACATGTTCGACCAAGAGTCCGTGTGTTGCACAATTCCTGTCAGATCCAATATAGACGGCACAACACGTTCTTTACTCTTAAAGGACAACTCCGGCGCAAAATGAACCTTTGGTCTAATTACACATTGTTACCTATTCAACCGTTATCTGAGATTTGTTTTCATGATTGCTGAATGTAAATAGTTTTATCTCTAAAAACAGTTTAGCCTATAACGCTAGTATATAGGGCACAGAGTATTGACAAATAAAAATCGCTTGTTATTACCCCTAACAAGGCTCAAAATAGCCCCACACTAACACGACAGCATAATAAGGGTCCCTACATTCAAACTGAAGCATTGAGAACTTTGTCAGTGTCCACACAGTTTAATAAGAAGATATTTTATACACACAGTCAACTTCGCGAATACAGGAAGAAGCCATCTTTGAAAAATAGTCTCTACCAGTCGATCTACGAACGCTGATCCAAGTGCGCTGAACTGTGCAGGATCTCATATGGTCAGTTGTTTCCGGAAGAAACACAAACACGAACCGTTTTCTTCTCTTCAATATGTACACGTTGCCTACTGTTCGCGCTCACCTTATCACCTTATTCACATCTCACCAGCGCACATGGATCGGTGTTCGTAGATCGATTGGTAGAGACTATTTTTCAAAGATGGCTTCTTCCTGTATTCACGAAGTTGACTGTGTGTATAAAATATCTTCTTATTAAACTGTTTGGACACTGACAAAGTTCTCAATACTTCAGTTTGAATGTAGGGACCCTTATTATGCTGTCGTGTTAGTGTGGGGCTATTTTGAGCCTTGTTAGGGGTAATAACAAGCGATTTTTATTTGTCATTACTCTATGCCCTATATACTAGCGTTATAGGCTAAACTGTTTTTAGAGATAAAACTATTTACATTCCGCAATCATGAAAACAAATCTCAGATAACGGTTGACTAGGTAACAATGTGTAATTAGACCAAAGGTTCATTTTGCGCCGGAGTTGTCCTTTAATCTTTACTCATAATTGGTCTGCAAATCCAGTCTTTTTACAAAACAATCCTCAGTGAAATGAAGCGAACAGATGGCGATTTTTACCCTCATCAGCTGGAACGTCATTAAAAATAAAGTTTATCCATGCAGTCCTATTGGAATCCAGAGGAAGCTTATGCAGCGACTGTCTTCCACAACCAGGCGCTGCACAATATTCTGTATTGCTCGGTAGCTCGATCCGGTTTGTCATCACGAGGTAGGCATGTATGTTAGGCTACTTAGCTATGCGTGTAATGCGCGAATCGGTGGGCGGGGCTAAACCGGCCGTGTTGAAGTATCTTCTTCTGCGGGGTGGTGTTTTAAACCCCTTCGACGTCATAGTTCCCCCACTTTTAAAAACGAGTCATTTTTCAGAGCCTGGTGTCAATTAAGCTTTTATTGGACTAACGAGGACGGATATTCTTATAATGTGATGACCTCTTAGATGTCAAAAGCTCAAGGAAAAATTGATTTCTCAGTTCATCACCCCTTTAATATATAAATTGATATATAAAAACACAGTATCGGGCATATGATGCAAACAAATTCTGAAAGTT